AACATCTTTCTTCATACGTCTAGAAATTTGGGTTCCTCAAGCCCTGTTGACGCAGCAGATGATGTGCTGTAGGGGAAGGGAATGCCCAAGGGGGAGGAATTTGGTTCCCTTCACCCAGGTGATGGTGCTTTGCCAGATGAGGTGCTACCACCCACCACCCAACCCAACATCCCACTCAAAGAAACAAACCCACCAACTTTCAGACAGCCAGGACCAGCCTGGAGTTCCCCCTGTCAGTTCCCCTGGAGCTGCTGCACCCATTGACCAAAGTTAGAATTTCTCTCCTGGAAATAGGGATTTTATAATATTTTATATTTTATAATACCAAGGTTTCCCCAGGGAATAATAAACCTCAAACCTCCTGCTCAGGGTCAGGTCTCTTCCAATTATAATTACGGCGAGATGGTTAGAAGGGGAAATAAACCCCTTGCTGCCTTGGTTTGTTCTGTGCACTATCATCTCAAAAATTCACCGCTAGGTCTGTGGGGTAAGACCACCACTTAATTGCATTTTGGGGTGGGTTTTTGTTTTGTTTTTTTTTTTAAATAACAAGTTACACAAAATTTTATTGCCGAAAATCCTCGCACCTGCCTTCTGTTTGCTGAGTTGTCAGAAGGAAAGACTAGGAGAGGAGCGAGCAGCATTAAGAAAAACTCCTCATCCAAGCAGATGTAGCTGTCAGATGCTGGTCTAGAAATAAGAAATAAACGCTACCGCTACTTAAAAACATAATGAAAAGTTACACAAAATTTTATTGCCGAAAATCCTCGCACCTGCCTTCTATTTGCTGAGTTGTCAGAAGGAAAGAATAGGAGAGGAGAGGAGCGAGCAGCATTAAGAAAAAACTCCACATATGTTTCCAAGCAGATGTAGCTGTCAGATGCTGTTCTAGAAATAAGAAAAAAACGCTACCGCTACTTAAAAACATAATGAAACTTGTGATCTGACCTCAAGCTGGGACACTGCTTGCTTTCAGGTGCCTACAGAGATAGAGCTAGGTAAAACATGAGGTTTTTTTTTTTCAGAAGACCACGTTAATTGTAGCTGTGGATTGGATGACGTTTGTTTGGTGCTTACCTGTGGTTCCTGCAAGTCAAATCCAATGGAGAAAGAGATGTCCAAGGCACACTCAGCTTAAAAGGTGACAAGTCCAGCGCAGGGTCTCAGTCCCACCACGTTTAGCACTGATGTACTCACAGCCCACGTAAGCTCCCTGTGCTTTAGAGCTGTTCTCTTCGAGTTGCAAACCAGGTAGGAATTGGGAAATGGGTTAAGAAAGAGAACAAGGAACAGAGCACTGAAAAGGGCAGGTTTCTCCCCAAGTCTCTTCTGTGATACAATGGCAGAGGCTCAGCCAGCAGAAGCTGTAAAGCAACGTAGCAGGAGCACTTAATTTCATTACAGGACAGGTAAATCAGCCAAGGAGATTTTTTTCTTTCGAAACCTGCCATGAAGATCAGCTGGGACAATGACAAAAAACATTCAGGGGCCTGAAACCCTGGGGTTTTTCACCCAGCAGAGTGAAAATGCCACCTGGGCAAGGCACGGGGCTGCACACCCACCGGTGACTAACACAGACTGTAAAGTCCTACTGATCCCAGCTGGGCAGGAGCCTCAGCTTTGCCATTAATTATTCAGCAAACACACACTCAACCTTCATCCCCAGCTGAGGGATTCACTCCCTGGCCCCACAGTCACAGCAAAAGGCATTTTGCATAAAAAGCACAAAAAAGGCAAGGAATGGCAAGGCAAAAGGCATTTTGCATAAAAAGCACAAAACAGGGGTGGGGTTTGGGTTTTTTTCTTAATTCACCCTCTCTAATTTTCAGCCTGTGTTACGCATTCACTAGCACCAGGCTCAACTCTTGAAAATTAAGTCCATGCTCCTGCACGCAGTAACCAGGGAGGGGGGAACCCAGCCTGAGGGTTTAGCTCAACCTGTGTCCACAGCTGTGACATGAGAGTAGGTCACTGTGAGGGGATGGAGACTGGATGAACCAACGGAGAACAACCACACAGGGGTGGGGTTTGGGTTTTTTTCTTAATTCACCCTCTCTAATTTTCAGCCTGTGTTACGCATTCACTAGCACCAGGCTCAACTCTTGAAAATTAAGTCCATGCTCCTGCACGCAGTAACCAGGGAGGGGGGAACCCAGCCTGAGGGTTTAGCTCAACCTGTGTCCACAGCTGTGACATGAGAGTAGGTCACTGTGAGGGGATGGAGACTGGATGAACCAACGGAGAACAACCACAAGAACAACCACAAGAAAAACCATGAGAACAACCTCAAGAACAACCACGAGAACAACCTCAAGAACAACCACGAGGAGAACCACAAGGAGAACCACTAGAACAACCACAAGAAGAACCACTCGAGAGCAGGTCACTGTGAGGGGATGGAGACCGGACGAAACAACGGAGAACAACCACAAGAAAAACCTCGAGAACAACCACAAGGAGAACCACAAGGAGAACCACATGAAGAACCACAAGAGCAACCACATGAAGAACCACTAGAGCAACCACGAGAAGAACCACTAGAGCAACCACGAGAAGAACCACAAGAGCAACCACGAGAAGAACCACTAGAGCAACCATGAGAAGAACCACCCTGCTTCCAGGCCAAAAGAGAAGAGCCCTCCCACCAGCTTTCTCCACAACCTGCCTCAAGTTAACAGCGCGTCCCCAAATCTACCAAGCTGTGGAAAAGCCAGACAAGAGACATGCCCTAAGGCCCAGCTTCAGGGAAACAAAAACATCTCAAAGGATAGGAAAAGGGGCCTGACTTTATGATTTTTAATTTCTAGCATCCTTTAATGTCTACATCCAAACAGGCAGTAGGGGGGCATCATTTACAGCACCGCTCAGCAGTGGGGGTGAGGAATGAGCTGTGCCATGGCCATACAAGGCTGTACTCACAATTAGTAAGACCAGGCTGATGTAGAAAAACCATAGGGTGGGCAGCAGTTACCACAGCTCCATTCCTTAGAGGCAGTGTGGTGCACCTGGAAGCCAGATCTGATCTGGCTCAGCTCCCACCACCGCCTTTAGACAACATCTAGGACGTGAGAAAGCCTGGGTCAGTGTTACCTCTGCTCAGCGTGGCTTTTCTTGGTAGAAGAGTTTTCATCTCGTTCTTCTCCAGAAGAAACAGGAGCCTCAAACCATCTCACCTAGAGGCAAACAGGGTCACAGGACTCGACGGAAGAGACACTACGTCTTTTATTCCTTCTCTATCTATCTGCCTTTTTAAACCACCTCAGTTAAACAGGAGGGAAAAAAAAAAACAACAAAAACCCAACCAAACCACAAGAGCTACAGCTGAGAAATACATTGAGAATTTTGGAAGACAGCAGCCAGAACAAGATCCCACATGCGCTGCACGTTTAAACCAAAAATGGAACAAATGGAAGCGACTTCAAGAGCTTGTAACCTTCAAGTTATCACAGCTTCACTACCTGAGGAGCCAGCACACCCAACTGCTGCCCCTTCCTTCCAGGCTAACACCAAAGATTTACATTCTCCCTCCCCTTTCAACCTTTTCCACTCAATTTCCTTCACAGAAGTCCAAAACTCATCATCCTCAGTGCTTGGGTCACTGAGTCACCACCCCAAGACACGAACTGCCTCCGAGCAGAGAGTCACTGTTCAACTACCAAATTGGAGAATACCCCAAATTAAACTCCCCCGAGTTAAGGAGGCTCAGCCCTGGAGAGCTGTGCTGACTTGGCCCCACCACTGCTCCATCTGGAAATGATTTGTGCAGGCAAAGGAACAAAATAATGCTACAGAGTTAAATCTTTGGGGGGGGAGGGAGGAAAAGCCATCCCAACCTTGAGGCAGCATTAACCATTAGCTGGTTTACTAATCACATTAGTTAGAAAAACTGGCCGGTTAAGTGTATCTGCAGTTAAATGACTCAAAATCCACAGAGTCCCATTAGACAAAGAAGTGAGCCTCTGTCAGCTTGTCATCCCAGCATATTTTCCTGCGTCCTCCCCGCTGCCTCCCAGAGGGTCTTGCTTAAAGGAGAGAAAAATACAAAGACTAATGATAAACTGCACAGAGCTTTTTCTTTTTCTTCACAAAAAAGGCACAGATTCGTACACCAAAAGATTTCTGGAAGGTTTTTCTCTGACCACAGATAAAGATAACTCTCTTACTACAACTTAAGAGGCAGCTACTTGAGGATTCTGACACTATGAAGACCTTAAAATCCACAACTAGAGGGGAGGACAAAAGGGGAGCTCAGGGAGGAGCTAGACAGACAGACAGACAGACAACAGATAAAAGGCAAGAAGCCTCCAGGATGCACAAGGATCCCAGCCAGAGTTTGGCTTTTCCTTTTGGCTTGAGCTTGCAGAGTTGCCTATTTTTAACAAGGAGCCTGCGTGAGGCTGCCTGCCTACAGCTGCCAATAATTATTTCACATCATGACTTACCCAACCAGAGCAGAATACTCTCCAGCAGAGGAATGACTTAGGTCAAATAGCAAATAACGTTTTATTTCATTTACAGTGATGTTTTGGAGTAGTAAAGGAACCACGGCATATAGGAGCCTGTAATAAAAGTCCATGTGTCTTATCTCCATAAAATAAATGAAATCATACACACAACATAAACGAATGTGCTCTTTGAAGACATTTGAAAAAATGTCATGTCTTTATACCTATTACTTTACTTACTGGTCTCTGTTCCATACTGTCTATTCCACTTGGAAATATAATTTAATTGTCGGCACGATAGCTATTTTTATCCAACGGTATTTCCAAAACCCAAATAATATTCTGATAAAAATGCTGGTTATCAATACATAATCTCCAGGACGATAAGTTTATAAAAAATCTTCTTCAAGTGATCGCCGAATCACAGCTCAACCAAATATTTGACTTAAAATACTAGTTATCTTGCAAACAAACACACCACTACTGCTCTTTACAATTGAAAAAAGCACCCTATTAAAAAATTAACCTGTCCCTCCCCCCCACCCCCAATTCCAACCCTTAAAGAATCTTTTTTTTTTGTAATTCATATTTGGCAACACTTAATGTCTTTATACAGATTAGGATCTTCGACCCATAGTCAGGCTCTTCGTTGATTAAAAGCAGTCACAAAAGTAGAGAGAAGTGACTATAACACAAATCCATGGATACCATGTACACCTTCTTGGCGTTCAATGCACAGAGCTATAAAAAGTGAACATAATTTTGTGGAATAAGTCCTCTCTTGCCATTTAACGTGCCTTCTAGCCATCCCGGTTCTCTGGAAAATTGCACTGCAAAAGAAAAGGAAAAAAATTACTGCACCTTTTTATGCTCCAGTTAGTACTTCTAGCTTTAGCTCCACGACACCAGGCAAAGCATCCATAGGAAACATCCAGACTTCTGCAGTGACCACTTTAAGATGAAGATGAAGGGGATGATTAACTGAAATACTTGCATAATGTAAGTGCTCAAACTATCTTCTGCAAAGAATACATGGGGAAATAGCTTTTAGGGGCAGGAGACTTCATTAAGGAAACAGTTAATGGAACTGAGAACGGGTTTATAAAAGGAGGAGAAGTTAGAACTTGTGGCAAATAGTGGGAAACAATTTCAGTAGCTGGAGGGCAAAGCAAGACCCAAACCACCTTGAGCAGAGGTGATGAATCTGGAAGCTCAGAGTCACAAAAAAACAGCATAGGACCTTTCTGTGCATGAAAAGTAATCGTGTAAAGTATGATAGGGGAAATGGAAACGAGCCAGATCTCACTCCAGGTATCATCTCTTCCCAGAGCAGAGCTGCCAGTGGAAGAGACCAATGGACAAAATCATTCTTCTGGTTAAATCCTCTCTCTCAAATTCAAACACATAGTGCTATTCACAAAACAGGAAGGAAAGGCTTGAATGACACGCCGTGTTCCTTACTGCCACCCTGAGAGTTCAGCAGTGCTCAGCCCAAAGTTTATGTGAGAGTGTCTGTCAATCCAAAACAAGAACAATTCCAGCTCAGACTCTAAATGCCCCACAAGTTACTCTGTGAGCAACAGAACCAATGAAATCTGGCTTCCTAGATAGATTTTCACCACATTTGTCAGGAAATTAAAAAAAGCATAAGCCTCGGGTTTTTTGGAAAAGAGGTTAAAAAGTCCTCAAATTCCCCTATCAAATTTTATTTTCACCACAGTTGTCAGGAAATTAGAAGCATAAGCCTCGGGTTTTTTGGAAAACAGGCTAAAAAGTCCTCAAATTCCCCTATCAAATTTCTTATAAGAATACGATACAGGTATCTATCTACTTTACCTATGGAACCCCAAAATCCCACGCTTCTAGTGACCTACAGTATTCTCTACCCCATTAATTTATCCTCCCAGTGCTTTGGAGACAGACATTATTTAGGGAGGAGATCAGACAAATGCTGAAACAGGCTGCCAGCCATGTCAGTGCTTTATTTAAAACACATTAACACATCGGGGAGTGTGGTATTTGTAGCCTCTACAAATCAGGGAAATAACAGTTAAGAGAGCACAACATGTTAAGTCTCACTTTCAAAAGCATTGTAAGGCTCTAAATTTGAGCACTTTAAACATACTTTCCTCTGGCTTTTTTTCTTTGTGTCCTATTATTGTCAGACAGCGAGGCCAGAAACCATGATTTAAAACAACAGCCAGAAAAAAATCCAGAAAACCAAACTGCTTTCAGATGATACTGATAGTTTAGATTCAGATCAAAAGCCTGGGCTTGTATTTTTATATTTATAACGAATGTTTGACAGAAGGTTCCAAAGGAAAAAAAAAAAATAAAAAAAAATACACAGAAAATTACCTTTTAGAAAATTATGCACAGTAACTTACATTGCTATTAGTAATTAGCAGTCCCTCCTCTCCCTTTGTCATTTTTATTCCACAATGACAGAGCACATGTGTGTTTGAACCTGCATGGTTGCCACCACCAGAACCTTCCCTCCAGCAGCTCCACCGCAGCCCCTGGAACTCTCCTCTTTCCAGCAGCCAAACCTCTCCCTCAAGTCTCCCATGCCTAGGGAGCACATCTGTTCTACAGGAAACAACCTCCAAAAAAAATGAGATTAGGGAGAAAGCAGCTAGAAAACCTGAAAGTAGGAATTTTCTACTTGTCCTCTGGAGCTCGACCTCCATTTACATTAGAGAGAGGGCAGATGCCACCGGCACGTGGGTGTCCATCACGCTGGAATTTACCTAAAATTTACCCAGGGGAGGAAATGCTCAAACTGTGCCCAAGCACTTGGCTTCGACACAACAGCAAATTTCAAAAGAAATATTTTCTAAGCAAGTTTTATAACGTTAAGAGTGAACTGGGCACACTGCAGCATGTTAACAGATGATGCAGGACGGCCAAGCAGTTGGGCTGGAGTGGGTAATGTTAAGACTGAAGTGGGCACACTGCAGCACGTTCACAAGATGACGCAGGACGGCCAAGCAGTTGGGCTGGAGTGACAAATGCCATCTTCACCCCAGGAGATGAGACGTAGATGGTACAAACTGAGCTCTGGGCTTGGGAAATTAAATATTATACGTGTACATTACACAGCCCGGGGCCACGTCATTTGTTGGCAGAAGTTTCTTGTAGCCTCTACGAAGAGCGAAGAAAGAATTAGCTTGGGGATTGCACGCAAGATCACCATTTCTAGAGATTTCTAGAGATTTTTTTTGGTAAAAAAAATAGAGCACCAACAAGTAATTCGTTATATCCAGCAGCAGTGGCAGCCCATGTTGGGCAAGAAAGGTTAAGATGCCCCATGGACATCAAATGCTATTAATGGGGAAGCTGCCCAAATGGAGCGCTGCGTTAAGCTCCAAGGATCCTGTTTTCTTTGCTAATCCATGTCCAAAGTTTAGTGCACAACAGCACTCATTGAAAATAAAAAGCCACTGCCCCACACAAAAGACATTTTGCTATCGTGCACAGCTCCTCTTAAACCCAGGACACAGGCTATTTCTGAAAAAAAATACCCTGCTTCAGAGAAGATGTTCCGTAGTGTCCCCTTTCTGTCATTTCTCCTCCGTCACCGATTACAGTTCTTAGCACTTCCTCAGGCCTGCCTCATTTAAAAATACCTTGCTGCAGAAACCACAGATTTGGCCTTAAAACTACAACTCATTATTGGACCGAGCATCCCACAGGAGTAGGTCTGATGTTGCCTAGGGACAGGAGGGGAAAATACTTGTAGTGCATAAAAGAGACAGAGAACTAAAAATGAAGTATTTTCAGCGAAGTTTAACACGCGTATAGCGAGGCTGCACAACACGAGCAGCCAAAGGGCCACCACCAAAAGCCATCCCACCTCTTGGGTCAGTCAAGTTGAGGGACCAGGGTGGGATGGCAGCTTCCTAGATACCTGCTGCGAGGCCATTTGGGCAGCCTCACGCTAGCGGAGGTGAAGTGTAGAGAAGGAGAAATGTGTGACCATCAGTAACGACGGCGAGCGCTACGGAACAATCACACCCAACTCAAATGGACAAAGAAAATCAACAGACTCTCAACTTGCAATGGGATCTCTAAGTAAACACCTCTTGGGTCAGTGGAAATAGCAGTCAAGTTGAGGGACCAGGGTGGGAAGGCAGCTTCCTAGATACCTGCTGCGAGGCCATTTGGGCAGCCTCACGCTAGCGGAGACAAAGTGTAGAGAAGGAGAAATGTGTGACCATCAGTAACGACGGCGAGCGCTACGGAACAATCACACCCAACTCAAATGGACAAAGAAAATCAACAGACTCTCAACTTGCAATGGGATCTCTAAGTAAAAGCTTTTCTGATTTCATCTTAAGAAGAAACACAACAAGGTCAGCTTGGCATTTGCGGCATCTCTTCCTACTTTTCTGTATTGTCGGTAGGAAAGAGCTTCCAATATTGCCAACATTATGATTGTCTAACTGCAAACACACAGAACTTGCAACCAGCCTTCCCAAGGACTCAATGCTATAAAGCAGACCTTGTCCTGCTTTGGCAGCTTGAAAGTTTCACAAGTCTCAACTACAGATAAGACCAAGACTCGATTTCCACAGCGGTATTACAGAATCACAGAATCGTTCAGGTTGGAAAAGACCCTTGGGATCATTGAGTCCAACCATCAACCCTACTCTACAAAGTTCTCTCCTACACCATATCCCCCAACACCACATCTAAACGACTCTTAAACACATCCAAGGATGGGGACTCAACCCCCTCCCTGGGCAGCCTGTTCCAGTCTCTGAATTCAATGGTGTGTCTGAAATGTCAACAGTTCATTGCCTTGGTGCCACTGACTTGAGCAGTGACTGAATCAGACACACAAACTTTTCAGGAGAGGACAGGAAGGGGGGAGGCCATCCAACGTGTGCAGCGCCGGGCAGAAGAGGGCCTCCCTTTGGGATGGACCACTTTATCAAAGAAAATAACTAGCTACGTAAAGGAGGATTACATTTTGTGGCAACAGCAATCTCGCTGCTGAAACCACTACAGCACCACAACACACTTCCGTACAACTCCATCAGGCTGGCCAATTTTTCACCCAGAAATTAAATTAAGGCAATAAAAATGTGCCTGCGAGCCCGCCGTGTTCAGAGATCCCTAAGGGGCTTTGAAACAATCCCCGTGGGTGAAGCTGACCGCAGAAATACACAACTATTCAGCATGCTTAGGGTTAGCATGGAATTTAAAATTTAAAAGCTCGCTGCTTCCCTTACGAGAAGCAGAATGATCCCATGGGCAGGACACGGGGTTAGGAGTCAAGGGGTCTTCCTCCTGACTCTGCTGAAGATCTATTTATTTTGTGTGACTACAAATAAAATAGTCTGCCCATAAGGGCTCAGGCTTGAGAAGGAAAGCAAACACACTGATACACCATGATGAGCTAGTGAAGGTAGAATTTGGCTTGAGGCTTCCCTATTTAGTGGTGTCTAATTAGAGCTGGTGGAGATCTAGTCGAGACAATGAATAGAGAGAGCACCCAAAGAATAATTGGCTCGCTCTAAAACAGAGGCAAGTGAGTTCCCTGTGCTACAACTTGGTGACCCCTGTATAGACACTGAGACCTGGGGTCTTTCTCCTGAGTTGATTCTCATCCCACCTGGCAGCTGAACCTCTCTGGCAGTCCCATACACACACCAACCACCAGGTAAGACACAGCAGTTCAAACGTCTTCCACCTTGATGTTTCTCTTCCAGAGCCCACAGCTTCCACGGCGCTGTTGGCAGGAGCAAAGTCAGGCTGGTTGAGGACAAACTACCTTCAGTGACTTCTTAAAACTTCTAGAGAAGTCCGTAGGGATTCAGTAGGG